GATTTTTAGAATTAACTAATTGAACGAGTTATTATAAATATTTTTGGATTGTTGACGAATATGTGATGTTTGTTGAGTATGATGTGTGCTATGATGTTATGTTGTGGGGTAATGGGAAGTTAAATGAGTAAGGAGTATTTTAGTAATTTAGATCATTTGTTAATAATTATTTAAAATTAGTTAGAATTATTTTTGATGATAAAATAGAGGAATAATTGATGTAGAGAATATAAGGGTAAGATGGTAATTGGTGAAAGGCTAAGTGAGGACAAGTTGGGAAAAATATATTAGGGGCTCAAAGGTTAAACACGGAATAAGGAAAAATATTTTTATTTGGTACAATCGTGAAAATATTCGAAGAGTAGAGGAAAAAGTTAGGGCACGAAGAACATAGAGAAATTTCGGTAGTTCGCGAATAAAAGAGACCCATGCTAAAAATCTAAGGTAAGGGGGTGATTTGTCATTATAATTGATATGGGGTTTAGAGGTATGTAGGGATTTGTTGGGGTTTTTGACAATTTGATGATATGTTGCATTATGATAAAATTATGTTGAAATCAATGAAAATACCATGTTGATTTGCCATGAGTTTGTGTATATAATGCCTATAATATTGTATGGTTGTTATATGATGATTATGTGTTGAATACTATGAGAATTTGGACTGTATTGCCATGAAATCGCAAGAGGATATGGGGTTGAACATGTGCAGAATCGCAACAGGAAGTTATTGTCTGATATGCATCGTTGGGCGATGGGAAGCGTCGTCGGGCGATGCAACGTCGCCTGGACGTCACCGGGTGAGCTAAGAAACGAAGGAATGGGAAAAAGTGGTGCTCCTAGATTTTTTTATAGAGAGGGTTCCCCCGTTCGCGCATCGCCGAGCGATGTAGGAGTGAGAGATGCATCGCCAGGCGAGCAGGGAGCTTCACTGGGCGATGGAGGCCTGAGGAGAATGGGTGGTGCAATCGCTCCCACGTCGCTGGGAGAGCCTCAGGCAAACAGACTGCGTCATTGGGCGAGCACCAGGCGATGGACAACTTAGGATTTTTAAAAGGCCATAAATTGAGTTTTAGAACTCTGTTTGAGGCGTCGTTTGAAGCGTTGGGTGGATAACACAATGAAATACAGATGGATGGAAAAAATGAGGAAAAATAAGTATAATCCCAGTACCTAGGCTAAGATAGGCTTAGATTCTTAAGAGATAGGCTACAATGATGCGTGATACTATGACGAATTGTACTCGACATGATGATAATATGATGTGACTATAAAGTGTTGAATGATGATGATGCTAATCTGTTGATGTGTATGTATGCCATGTGAATATTGATGAATTGATGAATGGTGATGCACTTGACTAGATGTAGTCGTAAATAATTATGTTGATTGTGCATCATGCATTCAAAGCATTGTTAGGACGAAAGTCCATTGTTGATTTAGGATGTTAGTCCAATGTTGTTGAGGACGTCAGTCTAGTGTTGGCCTCAATCCTATTGTGTGGATCGAGTGCATTTGATGTTGTGATCTGATTTCAAGAGAAAATTGATCCTATGGTGGGGATCTTTAGAGGGTGATGAGTCTAGTACTCATAAGGAAATGATACCACATGCATGAGTTTGTGTTATTGCACTGCATTTTATATGGCATTGCATGACTGTTGTTTAAATTATGTTGTATATGTTGTTGTGTTAAAAGATGGATTATTGATGATGATGATTTTTTATTTGATTCCATGATGTCGTCGCTTGAACTCCTATGTCTATTCCATATATCTTTTGTAATGAATGTGATTACTCACCTTTTCTGTTTGAATGTTGCCTCCATATGGATAACGCGCATGTGATCAGAAGTAGTTCGTAGAAGTTTAGAAGATAACTTGGAGTGTGTTGTTTCTTTTCTGTTGGTCTTTGAAAGTCTTGCTCTGATATATAACATCGGAGTCGGAAACGTTTGATTTTGAACTTTATGTTATTTGTTTTATTATGAGATTTTGAATTATGTTTCATGGTATTAAAATTGTTTTGAATTGTGAACCGTGAACAACAAAGTTTTAATGATGTGTTTAATAAAGACGTTTTGAACTACGAATTCCACTGTATAGTAAATATTTTATAAACGTTTAAAAACTCGTGTTACGGAGTAAGACGTACATGTATGATTTTTTATGAAGAATGTGACGCTCTTTAAATAAATTACTTTAATTATTTAATTATAATATTTATTAGGTTTTAAAAGGATATTATACTATCAAGAGAGATCGAGGTTGATCAAGGTGATTATGATGGGTCTAACATTTAACAACCAAGTGCACAAGAAGTGAATGTCGTGAACGTGAATCAAGAGCGGTGCTCCATAAGGAGGAGATGACACCTTTTGAAGAGGAAGAGTTGACTACATTATTCTAAAAGAGTGCATGGATATCGTGGTTCATTCAGTTATGGAATCAATTTGGCTAATTATGGCAAGATGTCATCTATACCAATTGTGAAAATAATATTACTACATTTATTCTTAAATATAAGATCTTGAGTTTTTTCTATCCCTTTTTATAAACCATATTTAAATTTTAAAGTACATTAATGATATATTTTTATTCATATATCCTTCGTAAGGTTGCATCATTTTCTATAGTTCACACTAAATATTTTTATGTAAAAACTAAACTAACAAAATATTTGTGCGGGACATCTGTATGAGTAAATTTGTTTAATACAATATAAAATTTATTTAGATATATATCTAAAATTTAAATTAACTATTAATTTTAAAATAAATGATAATTATATTAATTCAATTGTATTAAAATACAAAAAAAAAGTGAGATAATCAAATTAAAATAATTATTAATTAAAATAAAATATATATTATGTTAGTAGTGATCCGTAGATTGAAAGTTTATTTACTACAATATAAAATATATTTATATATAAATATAATTTAAAATAAATTACTTAATTGTAAAATGAAAAATAATTACATATACTCAATTATATTAAATAATCCAAAAAAAAATGAATTATGAGATGAAGAGAAAAAATTTTCATTAACATTTTAAAATAAAATTTTTGTCCTTCAAATCAAAACAAATCTACTATCTATCTATAATAATTCAATCGCCTTACCTTACTAATTTATCATTTCACTTCTAAATAGTTACACTACAAAAAAAATTAATTAGTAAATAAGAAATGTTCCTATTAAAACACTTCGGGATATCTCATTGCATTATTACATCTAGCATGTTCTTACTAGTTCAATCACACTAAATCTCTCATCCATTTATTCTAGCATACCAAGTATTCATTTCAATTTTATTTTTAATTTTTTTCTATTTATTTATTATAATTAAATCATTTTAATAAAATCAACTTGGATTAAATAAAAAAACCAATGAAATATAAGGCTATCTACAAATTAAATAATAATCATATAAATATTATTTTATAAAATCATCTTTAAGTTTTAAAATACATTAATGATTTCTTTTTATCCATATACCCTTCAGAAGGTTGCATCTTTTTCTATAATTCGCACTAAATATTCTTATATAAATATTAAATGATATTTCGTAGCGATAAATTTGTAAAAATATATAAATAGTCAACAAATATATTATTCCAATTAACTTTTTTTTTATTTCCGTAATTTTCTACTTTAAAGTCTTATACGGATGTAGTATTATATAAAAGCTAACTAATACTTTCGTACCAACACTATTGATGCATCTACACGAATCATTATAAATTTGTTAGATTGTTATGTCATAAAAGATTTATAAGAAAAATATTTTATATAATTATTTACTATCTTTTTAAATGTAATTCCATAGGAGTTCAAAAGTTTTTTTCTTTGTATCAAACTAGTAAGCTTATGGATGATTCATAATTAGAATGAGAACAATTTCGTAATTATCTAAGTAATTATAATTAGTGTGTTTGGATAAAACAGAAAAAATAATTTGTTTTGAGAGAATTTAAAATTATTTGATCAAAATTTATTAATTAAAAAAATATGGAGAATTGTTAAAATAATATAAATTTATGAAGTATTTTATTCGAGTCAAATTTAATGAATTTCAAATGACACTAAAAAATATAGAAATTGAGATTGTTTTATAGTTTGAATATTAAATTGTATATTATTTTTTAAATTTTGCAAAATGATCCTTGTATTTTATGAAAACTACAAATTTACCGCTAAATGAAATTTCTATTGATTATTATGATTCTGATTTTGGGCATGAAAATGCATCGTCTGCTGAAGGTTTTGATTTCAATCAGTTGCCGATTAAGGTGAAGATTCTAATATTACAACCGGAGAAAAAAATGAACTCTGAATTCTTTTCAGAAATATCAATAAAAAAATAAGTTCTTGAAAAAGCGTAGATGATTCTCTAATTAAGACAATCAAGTCTTCAATAGAAGAAAGATTTATCAAAATTAGAAAAATTCATTGCTCTATTTCTCTGCATCTAAGTAGCAAAACAGAAAATTCAAGAATATTCTTATATGATTAATTGTCAACATGCCAACAAGGGCGTCGCATATTTACTCTCTTACGACCAAGAAACATCTCTTGATTTTCTATAGTAAACAAACTCGTCAACAATCATGCAAGGTAGTGTCTTTTGCAACATATAGCATAACTGAATATTTTAAAGAATAAAGGTAGATTGATGAGTGTGCAACAAAGCAACCTTTTCTGCGACATAATCTATCCAAGGAGAGACACGTTAAAATTATAGATGCAGTTCATTACAGAATTGTAAAATAGCGCTATCCAGAAAACTAATCCAGTGTTGAAACATAACTCTCTGTACTAGCACTGTGGCATATCTCTAATAATCACATTTAATAACTTTTCTTAGCTTATTGCTCAAATACAGCAGACTAGAACAGATAATTACAGCTTAAAATTTTATGCACAACCAAACTCATAAAACAATCAATTGAATGTAGCACCAAAAACTACGAAAACTTGAAGATGAGTACAATCTCTCAATCATAAGATACAAGGAAAGGAAGCACCATAGACATAAATTCATCATACGACAGTGTTGCTGAACCGGAATAACGCTTGTCCTTAACCTTGAATTTGTCAGTCAGACCCTGAAAATGCAACAACTAATCAGCAAGGTTGAAAACATGTAAATCAGAGGGGAAACAGATAGCTGAAAATGCAAATCTAGGCAAATTGAATAAATGTTCTAACATGCTTATGTCTTCCTATTTTCTTTTGCAAAATATCACGGATATAAAATGCCACCCTGATGTTTATTTCCTATCACACATCACATAATCAAGACAATGCATTCAAATGCAGATGTTCGAACTAAAACCAAGGAAGGGGTAAATCGGGATATATCGATGGAAGCGGAGTTTAGAATATTAATCGCAGATGAAGAAATTTAGATATGAGATGCATGTCCTTAGCTCCCAAACCTTGATATATAATCAAGACAATGCACAAGAATGTTAATGGATAAAAATCTCTGTCCCAAACCAGTTATTTGAACTACAAATCGTGGAGAAGGTATGGAAGACAAGAATAGTAAACACAAATGAAGAAATATAGATATCAGAAGCACGTCCTTAGCTTCAAAAGCTCGACAAGTTTTACCTTGATAATCATCCCACACCTGCACAAATCCAACAACAGAACATGAGATATATAAGGACATTTCCAAATAGAATATAAACCACAATTTGGTTCTAGAAATATCTCATAAGATCAATTTGGCACTTGACGTATTAGCGGCATCAAAATGATTCTCAAATGATGACTTTTATCGTTACAGGACATTAGTTTGGTCAGTCCCAGTAAACAGCAAGTCTTTCGACTATTTTATTCCATTATAAAAATGTCTAAACAAGAAATGATAATTTCATGTCAATTTGTTCAATTTGTTCAATTTGTTCCATTCCATGCATAATCTTAAGAACAATATGGTATAAAAACTTCAGGGCCAAATTAGAGCTCAAAAAATCTTTCAAGAGAAAATTGAAGTTTACTTTTTTCAAATAAAATTAGAGTAATAAAATAAGCACTTGAGAGATCCAGATAAAATGGCTTACTCGACAAAACTGTCGAATCCGAGTTCAACCCTCCTACTACTTCCATCACTGTACTTTGAAAGCAAAAGTTGTAGAACCGAGGCTGGTACTGCATAGCCAATACCATACAGAGCATCTCTTAGCTCTAATGGATCAATTTTCCCACTCCTATCTTTGTCGTATCTCTCAAATATGCCCTACAAGCAAAGTACAAATAAATTCAGACGGAATCACGTGGGATGAAGTTCTATTATGAACGACAAAATTTAAAGTCTGGTTAAATTCACCAAGTAAAGAAAGAGGAAAAACAATAGAACATAAAATGTATTTGATTGATGAAGAGTGTAATCTTGTAGAAGGGAATGAATCCCAAGATACCCAGATCCAAGCTCCTCAGAAAGGAAGAAAATTTTCTCTGCCTAACCATAATGGTTCTCTCAATGTTCTTAACCCACACAACTCACTCACCTCACTATTTACACTACTAAAGCATAACAACTTTCCAATGACTAAGAGTCTGATTGGATTGACTTATTTGAGCTTAATTACAAATACGATTTTTGTGATATTGTTTGAAGAACTTAAGAAAAGAGCTTATGTCATTGTTTATAAGTTATTTTCAGCTTATTTTCACAAATTCCTTAAGATAGCTTATGAAACAGCTTACGAAAACACTATAACTTAATTTCATCTTTATCTATAAAAACAACTTATAGATAATAAGTGTTAGTGCTATAAAACACAAATAAGCCGTTTATTCGAACAGGACTTACTCGCCAGTGACCAAGACAACTCCAAAGCTCTGTAAATTCCTTTGGCCCTATAACAGAAAAAAAAGCAATTAAAAATCAAAATGAATAAAATTGCCCGAAAAATTAAAGTTCTCAGAAAAGGTTAAAATTACCAATTGTGAGTGACTCTTGGGGATGTTTAAAGAGAAAGATAAGAAGACGAATAGTCCTTAGGTTAAAATTATGAAAAGAAGAAGAAAGAGCCTGTTGCAATTCTCTATCATCAATAAAACCGCTTCGATCTCTATCTACCATCTGAAAGCTTCTAATAACATCAGGGTTTGTCCCTTGAGGAAAATTGGAAGGTGGAGGATAACCAGAGGATGAAACATGAGCGTAAGAATAATAGTTGTTGTAGTTTGAATTGGGGGGTGAGGTTTGGGTGTAGTTGTTGTTAAGAGGGGTGTGGTTAGAAGGTGGAGGTAACTCGGGTGCAGATGGAGCGTAAGATTGAGAATTGTATCGGCCGTAGGAAGAAGACATGGTTGGATTTATTTGATTGAAATTGTTGAAAGAGAAACAGATAGATATAGAAAGAGAAAACAAAAAGAAACAAGTTTTTTTGTTTTGAGTTACTCGGTTATCATGATTCTTAATAATAATAATAACGCTGGCAGTCACATCAATAAAATAATAGGATAAGGCTGGCAGATACAGACAATTTAATTCGGTATGTATATTCATTCCTATATTAGTAAGAATGAGATATTATTTTATTGTTACATTTTTTTTGAAAGACAAGATTGAACTTGGTTGGGTCAAGAAAAAATAATTGAACTTTGTATAAAATAATATTTGTTATTTTTCAAAAAGATATTTTGCTTTAATTTTCACAAGTTTTTTTTTTTTTTGGTGAACATGATTAAAGACATTTAGAGCTTCTATAGTCGTTGATTTATCTTATGGATGACGAGAAATCGTATGGATGACGAGAAATCGTATTGTGTATTTAAGTTTAATGTGCACATAAATTGCTTATATTTTATTTTATTGTATTGGATTTTATTTTGTAAATGTCATTCAGTTTCTCTGAAGATTCGCAGCCAAGCTGGAATCAAGACGAAAGAGTAGCAAAAAGCTTAAATTTTGTCTGTTTTGTTGATATGACGTTTGCCGTGGAGCTTTGGTGTTTGCCATTACCCCTGCATGCCACGTCATTTAATGATCAAGGCAATGACGTTCGTCATTGCCCTCATGGTGTTCGCCATTGTCTCTCAGAAGGCAGTTTCGTGACAGTTCAGTTTTTGACTTGTGTTTTTCCCTCCAATACAATAGTTATGGTTCCAAGCAGTTGGGAGACATTGTCCTATAAATATGTCATCCTTGGATCATTTCTGGAGTCAGAGAATCACGCGGAAGCTCTGACCAATTTACTTTAGACTTAAGCGAAAACAAACACTGTCCTTTTCTTTCCTTTACTTTATATTGTACTGCACTTGGAATTTTGACATCAATCATGCCGCCATCTTTATTTCTAATCAAGTAGCATTTTATTGCTCTTTATTCTTGTGTTGCTTTATATATTTTGCATGCGTAGAATTGTATTGAACTGCGTTAATATGTTAAATTCCCGCATACCATGTGTTGTACCCCAAAATTTGCCCTTTCATTTTTTACAAGAACTTCTCTTACATGAATGGTTATAAACACTTGCTTGAAGAAAAATAACAAATTTTGAAGTTGATCAAAGTGTCCTTCGATAAGGTGTCTTTCGATTGACATCTTAACAAGGTACTTCGATTGGCGTCTGAGCAAGGCACTTCGATTGGTATCAGAATAAAGTATTATTCGATTGGCACCTGAACAAGGCCTTTCGATTGGCCTCATGGCCAAGCCCTTTGATTGGCATTATGGCCAAGCCCTTCGATTGGCATTGTGGCTAAGCCCTTCGGTTGGCATTGTGGCCATGTCTTTCGATTGACATTCCAAAAGAAGCTTCGATTAGCATTATGGCCAAGCCCTTCGATTGGCATGGGTACAAGGCCTTTCGATTGGCATGGATACAAGGCCTTTCAATTGGCCTCATGACAAGCCTTTCGATTGGCATGGAAAAGAATCCTTCGATTTAGCATCTCAAACAAGGCAACTTCGACAAGCATGTTAACCAAGTACCCTTCAATTGTCCTTTTGGCAAGACCCTTCGATTGGTGTTTCAACAAATGCCCTTCGAGTGGTATTTGGGCAAAGGATTTTCGAATGACAGGAGGGTGTTCGAAGGAGTCAAGTGTCCAGATTCATCCAAGATTTCCAAAGAGACGTGAATGTTTCAAAAAAGGAATGCTTTTAATGTGTCTGATTCTTGTCTCATGGCTTTAAAGGCCTGGTTAAATGGTTGTCTCTTGCCGTTACTAGACCATCACACTCCTATAAATACAAGGGCAAGGACACAGTACCAAGGGCGAACGAGAGAGAGGACATAAGGGAAACGAAAAAGAGGACACACATACATACTGCACACGAAGAGACTACACACACGTTGCTCAAAAATCCCAAAAGCCTCCCAGTTGAAACAACTTTTGCAGGTTCCCTCATCCAGGAGTCCACCCCAACTCCTAAACAAACATCTCCACACCCAGAGCCACAGGTCATACATCTTCGATTGGTAAGGGTTTGCAAAACCAAAATTGCACCTTCATGACATTTAACTACACTTTGCATATATATTCTTGTTATTACTGATTGAGCTGCATGTAAGCTAAAGCACAAAGATGGGGTCGTGCCATTGTCGGGGCACGATCTAAGTTGTTACTTCGAATATCAGGACCAAACAGACCCAAGCCCAGACACAACTGATTCGAATTAAGGAAGAAGTCGAATTGGGAGGAGATTCGAATTAGGGGGGTAAAGTCCCCCCTGGACCTCTAACATTTGTTTTGTTTTACAGGGAACATCTTCTCAGAATCTTGTTCAGAGCTTCGAAGCAACTCAACTTCAAACTGAATCCAGGGTTCCCAGATCGAAGGATTGATATATCTAGATCGAACACTCCAAAGTGCACCCCCTCATGCACCTTCGATCAAGCCTCTTCACTGGATCAAAAGACAACCCAAGCCTCTTTCGATCCAGGGCTCCAGAATCACACATTGCTTGATTTACTGCCAGATCCTTCGATTTCTTTTTTGTTTTAACATTTTTATTTCTTTCTTTAAAATCAACATAAAATCAATCGAAAAAACCACAAAAATATTAGGATAGTTTTTTTTCTCTTAAACTAATTTTATTAATTAATCATTTAATTATCTTAACATTTTCCCAAAATAAAATAAAACAACAAAAAGATTTTATTCTTAGGATTTTTAGACGTTATTTTCAAATTCGCGCGCGTTTATTTTATTGTAAATGCATACTGGTTTGTAATAGCTTAATTAGGACTTTTACACTTTACTGCTTTATCCCCTTTATCCTTGTATAATGTAAATCCCCCTCCTCGAAGCTTTGTAATAGCGTAGGATTTATAATTTCCTGTACTTTAAGTTCATGTACATATATTAATTGCTTAGATGTATGCTAACTAGGATTGCATGATAAGATCTGAAAATAAACGGTAGAACACCTAAATGTTTAAAGATAAAATAACTAAATATAACACACTTGCACACAAGCACCTCTAAGGTACGCCCACTTTGGTTGCCTTTAAAAAACAGTCATGGGGCGGGAATGCTTTAGCAAAGACCCGTGAAATCAAAAGATCATAGTCCTTCGATGACCATACAGTTGCCTTCTCGATAAATGATCTAGTCCCTAAAACAGAATTGCTAAAGGATCTCCATAAATTTCCTTTATGACTGTAACGTCCCTTCGAATGTCCCTCAATATCCAACGATGAGGCTACCTACTCACTAATAGTAGGATAGTGTTGTCTAAAGGATAGGAGGAAAAGAACAACCTTTTCGAGTATAAAAGTAGATAGCTGTTAGAATTTTGTTCAAAATATTTTTGCACTTACACACAAAAACTACTTTTCAAAAGACATTTTTCAAACACTTTGTATACGTTCTCTACTACCCCGAGAAACATTACAAAGTTCGTCGTACTAAGGCGTTTTCAAAACATTTTCAAACACAAAGCACAAAAGCATCTTTCAAAATGAGCAAATCTCTAAGAGCCAGTGGAAAACCACGAATGGAAAGAGTGCTAACACCTTCCCTTTACATAATCTACCCCCTTACTCAGAAAACTCTCGAAAAGGTATTTTTCTGTTCTTTTCACCCTTTCCTTAATTTGGATAAAAGAAAAGACGGTGGCGACTCTTGCTTACCCCATATTTGCGAATACAAAATGCAAAACCAATATATAACAGTCGGTTATGCCACCGTATCACACTCATATTTATCATTTGATCAAGGTTGATCATAATTCATCAAGAAAACTCAAGATTCATCAAAAGTCAAAAGTTACTAAATTAGGGTTTTCTTTAAGAGAAGTCAACTGAACTTTGACCAAGCATAATTGTCACATACTTCATCATAAAATTCTCAACCAAACCCATTTTAATTGAAATTCAATTCTCTACAACTTTGTCTCTCTAAGCTCAAGGCCAAAAATGTTTCATTTGAGAGATATGAGCCAAAACATTACATGTCATTTTAAAAGTCAACAAAAAGTCATCTTTTGTCAAAGCAATTTATATCAAGATAAAATTTCAAATGGAAAAATGATCAACATGAGAGTTGTAAGAGACGTCTTGAGCTTTCCAAAAAGTCGAAGACCACCTTCATATGACAAAAATTGAGCAAGTTATGAGTTGCACAAGTTGAGCAATTTTGAGAAAATGCATGAAACTTAAATTGAACAAATTTGATTTTTTGGGCTAATGGGCTTATCTTTTCAGGTCCAAACGTGTTCATAACACATTAGAGAACCTCTAAATCCATTCATATATTTTTTGTGATTTTTATTTCTTTTGTTATGATTTTATTCCATTTAAATCAAAATAAATCAAATAAAATATCCATTAAATCATGAAAGGTGTATGAATCTATTTTTGATCAAATCATGAGTCAAAAATCATATATTTGAGCTGGCAAAACCATGTGAAGCTCTTTAAATCAAATCTTGGCCAAAATAGCAAGTTTTATACAAATTCCAAGTCAAATATTTTCACCATAAATTATCAAGATTTGATACAATTTTGTTAACCTAAATCCATGTCCTATAAATACACAAGACATGCATGAATTAAGGCCATAAATTACTACCTCGAAGAGCTGGTCAAAAGTATCAAAATTTCTCAAGAGCTAGGGCAGATTAAAAACCTTACTTGCAGCCTTGATTAATCAACTTCAAGCATCACATCAGCTTCCTGAAGGTCCCAGGAGCCCGTTCTAATCCTTACTCACGCTCAAGCAATCCCAGGACGTGCCAACCAAGTGGCTTCGGCTTGGTAATGTTCTTCAATCTCAAACTTTTTATCCATGCTATATAAATTAATTTTAAGCATTTAGACATGTTCATAGTGATGACTGGAATTATTTTGAACCATT